CTGTACCATCAAAACTGCTCCCAACAAACATAGAGGTTTACATCAGCGCTGTAACTTGCACTATTTTATCAACCGATTCACACTATAACCAGGGTTTGCCTCTTAACTTCATTTAATTTTATTTAATTTAATAACGGTACAGTACTCTGTTTTTGGTAACCATTGACCTTGATGTAAATTTGTATAAATTGTGTATGTTTCTGTTCTGTGTCTTGTTTGTATATGCGTCTTTCTTGCTGCTGTTACACCCAAATTTCACCTTGTGGGACAATTAAAGGATTATTCTATTCTAGACAACCTGCAAACCCTCATCACTGTAACTCTTCCTTTTGTGTGTGTGTTAGCTACCTGGCTCTGTCGTATGACGGCATCTCTCTGGAAAAGCTGCTCCACTACAACCTTCTCGCTCTCGCTGGGCACCTACAAACACAAACAGGTAATCATTACAGCTTCCAGAAGACTCAGATTCCTGCTGTGATTGTGTTGTTTACTGAAGCTAGAGCTCTGAGTCGTTTTAAAAGAGGCCAAAAACAATCCAGTATACGTTACTCACAACCATGTCTGTCATGAGGTCATCCTCCAGCGCCAACTGGACCCGATCTCTACATGAACACATTTGAAAGTTGAGCAGACAGCTAATTAGTTACAGAAAGTGTATCAGTGAATTAGGTACCTGTAGAGCGAGGTGATGAGCCTCCAGGTGCAGTTCTCCTGCTGCAGCAGCCAACGGACACCAGCTGTTTTACTATTCTGACCCGCTCTGAGCACCACAGACTGCAGCACATCCACCTTAAGGCATGTTACGGAAGACAAGAGAGCATTTAAAATGAGCACAGCACAGCTTTCACACCACATCAAGCAAACTCGCCTACCTTATCCTGGCAGAGCGCCTGATAATCATCCAGTAGCTCAAACACGGCCGAGGAAGAGTGTTTCAGAAAAGCCCCAAGGAACTCTGGGAAAAGACTGGCAGCGGCTTAAAGGAGCAAAAACCGGAGCGTTAGCGGGAACAACAACACACCTGCAGAGTAACTGGGCATGCTCAGGTGATTTGCTCACCGGCCTCTCCTGGGTCATCCTCCTTTAAGAGAGCTGAGCTGAGGTTCCCGATATCTTCTCTGAAGAAACTTGTGTTCTCCAGACCCGAAACAGGCGACGTGTACATGCTGTTAGTCCAATCACTGTCGTCCAGATTCTACACACACACACACACACACACACACACACACACACACACACACACACACACACACACACCATTATTATGGAGTTGGCAATGAGTTCAACATAAATATGATTGTAAGTAATACATTGTTAAGTTCAAGCAGGGTTTGACAAAACTGATACACTGAAGGTCTGGAGTATCTGAGCAAGCTAACTGGTCAGCAGCTGGCCTGTTTGGGTTAGTGACAGCATTTCCACCAATCACAACTCAACTACCTAAACAAAACCCACACTAATCAATATGTTTTTTTCTGCTGTCTTTATTTTCACATTAAAGAAAGTTTGCGACATCACTGACACAAAGACACCATTCTTTGTGTCATGGAAAACAGTGGAAGTGCACAGAACTCACGTTTTCATTTATTTAACAAAATATATATACACATCAATAGAAAAGTGTGTGTATCTTACCAGACTGCTGAGTGCGTTTCTGGGCGTGTGAGTGTATCGAGGCGTTCGGCCTCCTGGGGCCAAAATGGTTGAAACATCTGGAACTCTGGGAGTAACTGAGACAAACAGATGAATGAGAAGAGAGTGGAGATTTAGTCAAATATAAATGCCTCTGATACCTGTAGAGTGTGTGTGTCTTACCCGCCTGTCTGAAGAGTGAAGCAGGTGTGTTCCTGAGCAGGGGCCGGGCTGGTGTCACTGTGGAAATGACAGGGCTGCCACCACCGGGTGATGGGACTGACAGCAACAGTCAGGAAAACAAGCAGCTTCTACTTTATCAATGAACACTGTAGCAAACAGCTCCACACAACAAAACCCCAGATAAATTAAGCACTTCCACTCTACTTATGCCACCATACTAAACACAGACACAGGCGGCAATTAGTCAGTTTATTGCATTAGAAAAGTGAAATAAAAAATCTACTTTTTTTTAAATAAAAAAAACGATCAAGAAAGATTGCTGATAATCATCATCATGATACCCAGAATCTCTTGCTGGGATTTTAGGATTTGTTGCACTTGCTTCATACTACAGATCTTAACCATGACATACAATAACACACCAACGGGAGCTCATTTATAATCCAACCCATACACCATGTCCCACCTGGACTGTTTTTATGCGTTTGTGTGGAAGCTCCACCAAATGAAGCACTCCAAACCAACCAACATTAATTGAACTAGGTTATAAAGCCCTCCAATTCTGAGACTCCACCATCTAAAATGGACAAGAGGGGACAAATCACAGTTTAAATCGTAGGGTTACAGGTTCCTGTTCCCATTTTAGAAAGGTGGATGTACCATAAAGCTTGCAGCTACATTTCCACCTTTCCCCTTTATTAAGAGACCCATCAGCAGCTGCTGGGTTGAGTGGGTTGGTGTAGGGGCTGAACAGGAATCAAGTTAAAGTCTTTCTGCAGCAGGATACAGGCCACTTTCTTCCTCCTCCTGCGGGCAGCAACCGTTACCTCGTCGTCTCGAACCACCGGAGACGGCAGCTCACTCTGAGCCCTGAAGGACAAGATGAAGCACAAGAAAGCACTTTACCTAGAGAATTATAAACATATTAATGTATGTGCAGTTCAGAGGCTTTTACACCACTGAATTTACATCTTCTTTTCTTTCTCTGCTCTCTTTAGGGGTTGCGACATTAGATAATCTCCCTACCCGTCATCCTTTCCCAAAAATTCTCCTCTCCAAGTCCACCTTTACACCATCCGTGAATCTGCAGAGACCATCTTCAACATCCTTTGTCGAATATATGCACCATCCCTCCTCTGCACATGTTCAAACCATCTCAGCCCGAGCTGTCCTTGTATCTAATCCTGTCCATCCTGGTCACTTCAGCTTGACAACCTATTTTTTCATTGCCACCGTCTCTAAACCATACATTTTGGCAGGTCTCACTAAGATCCTGTAAACCTGCCCTTTCGTGAAGCCATATTGCTTCTTGCTTTTTAATCACCTCACTCCTTAGCTTCAGCATCTCTTCCCCCAGAGCTTTATGGTATGGCTCATCATCTTTATCTCTCTGTAGCTGCCACAGCTCTGGACATCAACCTTGTTCTTGACATTATATGTAAATCTTTAAATTACTAGAAGCAGTCAAAAGAAGACAAAAGACAATTTAATTTTCTAATCACTTGTCAAAGTTTACAGTTTTTTTCAACACAAAAAGCCGTGGCACTTCCCGACGGTTCTCTTTAAAAAACAATTTTAGTCACTGGCTTTAACTGTGCCTAAACTAACAAGAAGCGTCACAGTTCTGTGTGAACCCATGTATTGTAAATAAAACAACTACAGCAAACAATTTTGCTACGATATATATAGCTGAGAGCATATCAAAAGTTAGTACTCATAAAACAACAACATACTGCAATCTTTATAACACTTAACGTAGTTCAGTTATAACCTCGTAAATCTAACTTTACGTAATACTTCCCTAATTGCGGTAGTTCTTCCAAAATACTGGCTGCTAACAGCTCTACTAAACCACTAGTTCTTATTTTATTCACCCTAGAAAGCAGCTCTTGTTACCGACTGTCAACTGTACCCAAACCAGAGCATTTAGCCGGTTAGCATCGCCACTCACTGTGAACGGCAGCATTAGCGCTGTTAGCATTGTTAACGTTAGCTAGCAAAGTTGAAGTCCCTGAATTTAGCACACTCGCGGACTAAATAAAAGGCCAACGGTCTGTAATCACCAGACACATGCCCAACTAACCATACATAAGAGTAAAATGTGTATAACTGCTGAATAACGCTTAAAAATAATGTTTTTACCAGTCCATAGCGGTGAGTTGTCAGTTCCCGCTTCACGAGGTTTAACAGGGCTGCTTCTTCTACTTCTTTTCAATTCTCAGCAGACTGCGTCTCTTAATTCACACTGCTGCCCCCACGAGTTGTAATTAGATTGCATCCAGCCTTGTATATGTTTCCACTGTTTGTTTGTTTTTTTGTAAACTTAAGTATTTTATTAATCATAGAAAAAAAAATCAAAATCTGATTACGTCCAGATCTATTGAATCACTAAAAGAGAACCTGTCTGATGTAAGCTAAAAGATCTCAAAGCAACACATAACGCCACGATATAAAGAAATGAATAAGAACCAAAGTCACTGACATCTATCACTGTAGAAGGGGTTACAAAGATATTTCCAAGTCTTTGGGACTCCAGTGAACCACAGTGACATCTATTATCCACAGAACTTGCAACAGTAGTGAAAATTCCCAGGAGTTGCCAGCCAAAAAATCTTCCAAGAGCCCATCAATGACTCATCCAGGAGGTCACAAAAGCCCCTGAACAACATCTAAAGAACTGCAGGCCTCACCTTCCCCACTTAAGGTGAGAATTCAACAATAAGAAAACAGCTGGGCAAAAATGGCGAGTTCCAAGGAGAAAACCACTGACCAAAGACAGGCCAAAGGCTAGTCTCATATTAACCAAAAAAAAAACCCATCTTGATGATCCCAAAGTCCACAGAATATTCTGGGAAAAATATACTTTTGGAAGGTTTAAGTCCTGTTACACCTCACCTAAAACTAACACCACATGTCATAAAAAGACCATCATACTAACAGTCAAACATGGTGGTAGTGTGAATGTCTGGGGCTGCTGCCCTTTAGGTTCTTTGTGTGGCCCAGTCAGTTTGGACTTAAATCAGACTGAGATGCTTTGGCACGGACTTAAACAGGCTGGAAAACCCTTCAGCAATTCTGCAATTCTGCACCCGGCTTAGTTTCTCTATGGAGGGAGACATCTGCCACATAGACCACCTCTGCGCTCCTCTTCCCTCCGGTCCGTTAGCAGCCGCTGTTGCTTGATAGACACAAACGGTAAACGGTGTTAAACTGGGAGGAAGCAGGAACACATTCACTCACTGGGTGTTTCTTTCCTTCTCCTCCTGCTGGAAGTCACGGCTGTGTTACGATCTGCGGAAGAGCAGGGAAGACATTCCTCCGGCACAGCAGCGGGGATTTGGGCACTGCAGAGGCCGGGAGAGGAGCTTCGAACGCCGGGGAAGACCGGTACCTCTCCGGGGTTTGTTTGGCGGCAGCGAGGCGAGACGGAGGAGAAGCAGGGAGGCAAATGGAAAGATGACCCGAGGTAAACTTTATTCAGTGCGTGGCAGGCAGACAGAGAAGCGGATAAGTCTTTTTTTAAATATATATACTACGTATCGTTTTAGATGTGAGTGGAGCTGTGAACTTGAGTAGCTCTACCGGTTTCCACCTAATGGTTTTAAGTAAGACATAAAGTAAGACCGAGCATCAGGCAGAACTCCGTTATTTTAACCGTTAACCATTACAAACGGCAAACTGTTCCCTCCGGTACTCTGAAAGCTTGGAGAGAACTTAACAATTATTATGCTATTTACGACACTGGATTACAATTTAAGGAACTTTCTTTTGTGTGCTTTCAGTGTATTGGAGTAAAACACCAGTATTAATCTCTAATATTCAGTTAGGTCCATAACTATTTGTTCACTGGGACGCCTAACGTGGCTTACCCATTATTACCCTAAAAAAACACAAATAAATCTATGATAGAGAGCAGAAACTTCATAAGTCACCAAGTAAACGCACTGCTCAGCCCAGCAGCACCAAAAGGCCACTACAGACAATAAAAGTGGATAATAAAAACAACTTTATGACATCTAACCAAGTAAAAGACTTGGGCAAGTGTATCGCAGTCAAAGTCTATAACTAAGGGATGACTTCATGAGTGGAAATGGAGATGATTTACAACAAGGTGCAAATACTGGTTACTATTAATGCTTATTATTGAAGTGATTGCTGACAGAAACATGAGGATGGATTGCAAAGTGTAAAGGGTTGTGCTCGCTGCTCACAATCAGACAAATGGCACAAAACCGATCAGATAGCTTCAAAGTGGAAATTCATAATGACCTAAAGAAGGCTGCAAAAGTAAACTAAAATAATAATAATGTGATATTCTTCATTGGACAAGTCAGTCACCTGATCTCAAACCGATAAAACAGCCTTTCTGTGACTGAAGACTCAATAAAACAAGCAGCAGCTGACAGGAGCTGAAGTAAAGGCATGGCGGAGCATCTCAAAGTAGTAAATGCAGCATTTGGTGATCACTGACTTTCATCCAAGTACCAAAAATAATCCCTATATTTAAATTAGTTTGCCCAATTACGTCTGAGACTCAAAGTGAGGTCTATGTATAAATATGATAATATACTTACCTTCATATAGTTAATTCAGTGCTTTTGTTAAACCTTTTAATGATTTTTTTATTGTAGTTGTTGGATTATCAAAATAGAAAAACACTTATCTTGCTTGTAGCTTGTATTGTACCATGAGCGTCTTGACTTTTTTTTAGTTTTAGCCTTTCTAACACTCGTATCTCTCTTTGGCCAGTGTGAGCAACTCAGCTAAGTTCAACAAAGCTCCGTCTGAGTAACTTTAACTCTGAGGCCTCCCAGATCATGGCTGCCAGCTTTTTAGCCAACAAGCGCATTGTTGCTGGCCTGCTGGTCAACCTGTTCTCCTCCATCTGTATCGTCTTCATCAACAAATGGATCTACGTGCACTATGGCTTCCCCAACATGACCCTGACCCTCGTTCACTTTGTGGTCACCTGGCTGGGACTCTACTTCTGCCAGAAAATGGATGTTTTTGCTCCAAAAAGCCTTCCGATTCGCAGGATCGTGTGGCTGGCTCTGAGCTTCTGCGGGTTTGTGGTCTTTACCAACCTTTCCCTACAGAACAACTCGATAGGAACGTACCAGTTGGCTAAAGCAATGACCACTCCCGTCATCATCCTCATCCAGACCACCTACTACAAGAAGACCTTCTCCACCAAGATTAAACTTACACTGGTTAGCAAAGTCCCATCTGCTTGTTAGAGCTGTAGAAACATGCCAATCTGAATGATTCTTACAGGATACTGGGGTTTGGGTCATTTTGGGGTAAGTGAGAAACAATGTCAGCACAATCTGTTCCCCTCTCCTCAGGTACCCATAACATTAGGAGTGATACTGAACTCGTACTATGATGTGCGGTTCAACTTGCTGGGGATTGTGTTCGCGTCTCTTGGAGTTCTGGTGACGTCACTTTACCAAGTGGTGAGTAAATGTATATGCTGACAAAACACTCCACAGAGACTGAAGTAAAGTAATTAACTGTTCTCCACATTTCTCTCTCAGTGGGTGGGGGCAAAGCAACATGAGCTCCAGGTGAACTCCATGCAGCTTTTATACTATCAGGTGAGACCCAGCCACAAACCAAGTAAAAGATCACTGAATACTCAGTATCTAGAGTTAGATAATCTAATCAGTTTTCCTATGTAATGCTGCTTATTATGCAATGGGTTTAGAACTGGACTGCTTACTTTGCTTACCTTGAGTTGTTGGTCATTATTTATTATTATTTTGTCTGTGGACTTTATAAGATGTTAGAATTTATTTGGAACTCTATTTTGGAATTTGCAACAAGACTTTTGTACTTGTTGATTTTATTTATTTATTTTGACCAGAGACTTGATTTTGGATTTATTTCCTTTTATTGGGGTCTGAGGTTTGGAGCTTTAGTTTAGGGACATAATTGGAGACTCGCTGGCTTGTCTCAACTTGGAACCAGACTGAAGATACAAGGCTTTGGACTTTGTTCCCTTTCATTTGGGATTTGGCCTAAGACTTTCAGATTTAGTCCCAGGACTTCTTTTCAATTTTTTTGGAACTGGAGTTGGAAATTAGCCTTTTAATATTTGTTATTTTATATATATAATATTTTATTTTGGACTTGTTTCCCTCTGCTTGAAACTTGTAATGCTAATGATTTATTACAGGACTTGTTGATGAACAACTGGGCTTTTGATTTTGGACAGCAAACTGGATAGTGACTTTAGACCCTGGGCTTAATTTTTGTACTATTATTCATTTCATTTGGATTATTTCCTAGGACTAATAAGTATATTTCTAGGAATGTTTGGCCTTACATTAAAACTGGAATTGGGACTTGTTATTCTTGTCTTAGGATTCTTAGAGACTTAAAATTTTCATTTTTGATTTGCAGGTTGCTGAATTGTGTCTTGATTTGGATTCGTGATATTTTCTTGGACCCACTGGTACAGAATTATGTGGGACTTGTTACGAGTTGTCATCTAGAGTTATGTTGGTACTTTTTGATACTTTCAGATGATTTGGGGCTTGTTGATGTTGGCCTATGGCTTGTCCTGTAACTTGCTGATATAAATTATTCAGGACCTATTACCGTCATGTAGGGCTTCTTCATAATGACTTGCAAATTGCCTTGAGATCTGCTGATGTTTGGTTTGGAGCTTGTTTGTACCATTCAGTTCCAAATGATGGTATTGGAATTGGATTTGGACTTGGAATTAAAAAGTACTTTGTCCACTAGATTTTTAGTACCACGTATTTAACATAGTTTTCAAGGTTTTTGTTAAAAAAAACTTTTAAATTAATTATTTAAAATGTATTAAATAAAAATGATTGTTTGACGATTGTCACCTCACCAACACAGTGTAGACTAGAGCAGTAAAATCAAACATTAATCAGCTTCAGTGTCTATCAAGCAATGTGTCTTAAAGACACATTACAGGTCAGAGACAGATTAGCTGAGAGCTTTGGAGTAATAGTAGGATGTTATTTATATTTTATACTTGATATAAGTCAATGGCTGTAGATTTTTACTGCACAGACTGTTCTTTTAGGCTCCTCTATCGTCAGCCTTCCTGCTCTGCATCGTTCCACTGTTTGAGCCACTGACTGGATCCGGAGGAATATTTGGACCCTGGTCTTTGCCTGCTCTGGTCAGACTCAACATGACACACACACACACTAACACACCATTTAAAAAAGACGCACACAACTGCAGCTACATGATCTGCAATTGGATCTAATGTCTGGGACTTTCCAAGTAATAGTCTGCCACATTTTATCAAAGACATTAAAAGCGGTGCATTTATTCTGCCTGTCTGTTCTGCTAATAGTCACATTGGTCAGTTGGTTATTAAATACTGCTATATGTATTAATAGATAGAAGTGTTTAATTTAATACATTTTGACTCATGTTCCAAGTCTTAGTTTGAGATTTGGAGCAGCTGGTAACAGTGTTTTCCTTTTCTTCTGGCTGCTTTCTTCTTCCTTCTAGATGACTGTGCTGTTCTCGGGCGTGGTGGCTTTCCTGGTCAACCTATCCATCTACTGGATCATTGGAAACACCTCACCTGTTACGTATCCTCAAACACTTGTGGGCCAGAAGAGGTCTTGCAGTGTCAGTGGTTGCTTCAGTTTGTCAGTGGTTGCTTCAGTTTGTCGTGGATCTTGTTGGAGTTTACTTTAACAAGTAAACTGAAGTAATTTGTGCAAATATGAGGCTTTCTTTGGACGTCTTGTGTTCCTGATCTCCTTCAGGGGAGTCATTGGTTTTCTCTGGCAGCTTTGGGACTACATATGTGTCAAACTTTCTAGTCTTATTGAAAGGGTTGCAGAACTTCTTAAAAGGGTGTTTAAGAACTTCTTTACAGTGAACCTGTTTATGTCTTGGAAAGATTTAAAACCTCCTTGAGTCAGTTTTTGTGTTTCAGGATCTTGAAGTCTTTGTGAGGAGCTTTTTAGGGATTCAAGAACTCCAAACAAAACACCTCTTTAAGGGTTGAGAACTTTTATTAAAGGTTTCATGTCTTCTTGATCATTTCGCTGGTTTTCTTAGAAAGTTTTGAGGACTCACCCAGGTTTTTGGAACTTTTGGAAGGCGGGTTTAGGTTTCTGGTTTTATTGGTATTTTGTGAGGAGCTGTCTAACCTAATGCTCATCTAAATCAAAAGTAGGCAGTTGATGTAGTTCAGGCATCTAACTAGTGTTTTTAAGGCATGTTGAACATGTTATCCTTCCAGAAAGTCACAAAAGAGAGAAAGGCCTGTACATTTCTCCATTGATTGCTTTCCTTACACCTCTGACCCAGATAAGTGGTAAAAAAAAAATTGGTGGATGGATGAATCTGTAATCTTACAACAATGCAATTAAACAACTTGAAGAGGTCCTCAGAGACTTATGGAAGAGTTGTGGTCTTTTCAGAATAGTGCTGAGGGGTTTGCCTCAAGGTCCTCCTGGTACAAATATTTCAGATGACATTCATAAATGTTGTTATCCTGATTCTAGTTCACAGCTATAACATGTTTGGTCATTTTAAATTCTGCATCACACTGGTTGGTGGATACCTGCTCTTCCATGACCCACTGTCACTCAACCAGGTGAGTCTTCCTGTGCTGCTCTGATGAGTCAAACCAGGCAGTTTTCAATTTCCAAACCTTCTACTCTTTTCCCGTCTCTCACTCAGGCGTTGGGGATCCTCTGTACTCTGGCAGGTATCCTGTCCTACACTCACTTCAAGCTGATGGAGCAGGAAGAAGGGAAGAGCCGGCTGGCTCAAAGACCCTAGGCCATCTTTACATGTTGGTCTGCTGCACAGACTCCTGCTATTGGCCATCCACAGTGAGACCGGCTGGAGATACCTCTTTAGATATTTTTACCATTTTTATTACAGGTATTTTTTTAGAAGAGAAGGGATTTCATCGTGGATCGTGTCAGATTTAAACGTATATGGCATGTTAACACTGCTGTTCGTACTACTTCCACTGAGCTTCAGCAGCACTGATCCAAAGTCTTAAAGAAACCTGAAACTCATCACAAAGGCAGCTCCTCAAGTGTTAAATCACTCTCATCACGCAGCTTTAACACAGATGGATGGAGGTGTGGTTTAAACCAACCAACCAATCAAAAGAAGGCTGCAGTTGAGCTCTGTGAAAGATCCTTCAGGACACCAAACCTTCATCTGCTGCTGGAGGCTGAAAAAAATTGCAATTACAGTAATATTAGAAAAATTGCATCATAATCTGCTGTTTTTCTGATTTTTGGTACTCACATCAGCTGTAGAGTTGAAGGACTTTGACATTTATGATAGTCCAGACATGAAGGCAGAAGACATTGATGGGAATCCATCAGCAATCTGCATGGACATGTTTAAACAAGTTTACATAGTAAATACTTCTGTCAGGTCCCACCTGTTATCCATCAACCACTGGAAGAAACCAATTTGCTTTGAAGTGAAATTTGAAGGATTTTACTTATTAAATCATCTCAGTGACTTACAGATCATGAACACAGAAACTCAGACACTGTTGGGGCTACAGAAGTTTTCCAAAGAAGAAGTAAGTGGCAGAAGCTTTTCTGTTATCAGCCTCTCTGTATAAGTGATTTCCATAGACTGATGAAAATTAATTTGATTGCCAGTCAAATACCAGTAACTTACAGGTGGTATGAAGTGATAAATGAGGTTCAATATTCAATAATCAGTTACTAAATAACTTCTCCATAAACTTCTAAAATTTGTGGAAGACTTTATTATCAGGCAGAAATAGGTCAAAGTGAACTGGTTTATAAAATGATGGTTTCTTCCATTTCTGAGTCTCTGGCTCCTATTACTGAGCTGAAAAGTGACTCGTTGCAGTTCTGCAGGACTGAGTTTGCTGTGTAACATTTTTGTGGATTTTGCTAACGTTATTTGTTTGGCCCTTCAAATCAGACACTGCCCTGAATGATTCATTAATCTGTTGGGGGGTTTTGTTGTTGTTGTTTAAAGTCTGCGATAGGTCTAGTTTTATTTCAGATTTAGCCACATTCATTGCTGATGTAACTTTTTAAAATTAGTATTTTTTTTGATAAAATTTTCTTAGCTTGTGTAGCTGTTATTTAGAGACATATTGCATTGTTTGGGTTTTTTTTCCTTTGACTTGACCCTGTTGATGGTACAGGTGGGATTTTGGGGACGTGGCTCAGCGAAGCATGACGATCTGCTATTGTGGATTACATATCTGGAGAAATATTCAGTTGCTCAAAGAACTGTTGAAATAAAACTTTAATCTTCTGCATCTACAGTGATTTCTTCTTCATGACACTTTGTGATGTACAGTAGTCCTCAATCTGACATCCTCGTGCTGAGCATGCTCAGTAGAGTGTTCTTGTTTATATTTCACTGTATTAAGTAAATTCAGCCTGCTGAATAAAAACAAATTTAGTGGCAGTTTGCATTGTTTGAGGGTACACAAGTATCTAGATGTGGTGCTCCTGAAAAAACACCATACGTTAGTCTTTATGAGCTTGTTTACTTGCTATCATAAATATGCTATTAAAATGACTTCTTTTATTAAACGTGGCCAAAGTCTGAGCCAAAATTTCTGACATGCAGTCTTATCTACTGCATGTCTTGCTACACTTTGTATTAAGCAAGAAGGAATGTTGCATGCTGCGGACATCTTGTGCACAGAAGCTCTATGCACCTGCTGTTCAAACCTGTGTATTGGAGGCAGCCAATGAGAAGAGAGTTGGTTTAAAGGGTGAGGATGAACTGAGTTTGAGCTTTACAGCAGTAGCTTTGCATGACTGTAAAATATGGAGTTGGAAGTTAGCAGAATGGTTTAAACACCCTCTTTAGGAAGGGCAGCATTTTCATCATTAATCATCCAGACATGACATCGTAAAAAAGAACACTGTTGTCATCTGTAATAAGCATGTTATAATATAACCACACCTAAGTGGAGTTCTCCAGTGAATGGCCTCGCTGTGGAGCGCCCCTGGGTTTCCCCTCACATGCATGTGTGCCTCATTCATACCGTGCCAATAAAGCTGCAATTGTAACGTACACACACACACACACACAGCAAGGCTGTGCCAGGAGGGAATTTCAGATGAATGAACAAGTGGAAAGAGTGTGTTTAAATAAATCTCTACTCTGAGGAATGAGCAAAACCCGAGAGCTGTTATTAAACTGCATACTGTGGGCATCCTGCTGCTACCACTGTGAGTATGTATAGATGGTATTCAGAAGTGTTATTTTTGGGAAGAGAGGACTAAAATGCAGGCTCTGGGAGGCTGAATAAAAATAAAAGGAAAAGTTAGCTTTAAAAGCTGATAAATACATACTGCTAAAATCACAAGAGGAAGACTTGTGAAAAGCACAATGAGAGAAAGTGGAAAACAGGAAAAGTGGGAAAGGCAGAACTAGAGCCACAGCTGAATAGTTCATTTCTCTTGGGAAAGTTTCTAACTGAGTGAAGTGCCCCTGAAGCGCAGCCACAATAAGAGCAGTCTGAATTCTGTGAATACTTGGGAAAAGTACTTCAGGTCTTCCTTTACGACCTCGTTTAATATTTTCTAAAAACAAAGGAGATCATGTGGTCCCACAATTCACAGCAAACCACCATTCAAATGTCATTAAAGACAATCAGCATAACTGACAGGTGATAGAATCTACAAATATCCAGAAATATTGAGTTTTTCATTTCATGCCATAACCCAGTGATATGTTTTTAATCTCTAAACTTTAGGCTGCTTATTCTCCATCTTCTTAATCTACTTCCCACCTCTGCACATATCCAAACAATCTCAGCCTTTGTCTGCTGTCAGCCAGTCAACCTGAAATGTCCCCACTGGTCGCTCCAAATGAAAATCTCAACATCTTCAGCTCTATTACTAGCCTTTCTGTCTTGTTGTATCTGCCACCATCTTCTAAACCATACATCCATTCTCTTCTGCTTATCCAGTTGAGGGTTGCTACCATAGGACGGGAGTCAGTCTGTCTCAGTGCTAACCACTCCACCCTGTCTTCTTCCCTCTTTCGTGCACTGTCGGTTGCTTTGGATGGTTGACCTCAAGTATTTAAACTCATCCACCTTCGCTGCCTCTACTTCTTGCATGTTCACCTTTCCACCTGTCTTCCTCTCATTCACACACATGTACACACACACCTTCATCTTTTGATAGTCTGTCTACACACCTGCATCAACAACAACATGCAATGTCACATTATTAAGGAGGCTTTTGTAAGTGGAGCTCCTCTGAAGGTGGAAGTGGATCCTCTGAAGTCCTTATGAATTTCCCTTTGCATCTTTCCTTGAATTCATAATTTCTTCCATTACGATCAAGATAAACTGATTAGGAAAAGGGGGCAGTAGGTCAAAATATATGCAGGGGCTGATTGGTAAAGAAGACACAGCTGTGAACAGCTAATATAGGGAAAAGAACAAAGGTTTAAGAAGTAACTGAAAGGCAAATAACTGACACCGGTAAAGAAGAAAGACCATAATAACACCTGTACTTGCTTGTTGAAAACCTGCAGTATCCATGTTGAGTCATATCAGGGCATTAAACAGCCATTATCAAGTGTAACCTTTTCACAGATATAATTAATACCTGCTCACAGCCCAGATGTGTGCTGATTAGTGATTAACTAAAAGAAGACTGTGGAATAATCACCCACAGGTAACCTAAAGCTCCTGTTAACTAGTGGTGAAAAATTATAAATAGAAATAACAGTTAAAATTGCATACAGAATATAATTATTTCTTCAGTAGGACTCTTTTGTCCTTCACAGTTTATATTTTATATATATATATATATATATATGTGTGTGTGTGTGTGTGTGTGTGTGTGTGTGTGTGTGTGTGTGTATGTATGTATGTCTGTCTGTATGTATGTATTGTCTGACCTGTCAGCAGTCTGGAATGCTGGCTGTTGGGAGACAATAATTTTAATATATAATACAATATTATTCACTTCTTTGAAGATTAAATTGTTAAGGTAATCGTTTAGAAAGCCCAGAATAAAAAAGCTCTCATGTGTCGGAGAAAATGTCAGGTAACTTATATATTTTTAATCAGGCATAATTTGGAACTCCAAAACGAGAGGGTCCTGATGCTGTTCACCCGGAAACCAGCACGGATGAACCGATGTTTGTTTTGCTACGGCTAACAGGTAACCCCGCTCATCTTTACATATTATTTAGAAGAAACTGGGCTTCTCTAAACAGGGAGTGCTTGCTGTATGTTTGTAAATTTGCGTTGTATTTACTGTCTGTCAGTTTTGCGCTGTCTAAGCGTTTGTTTGTGGCTGTTTTCGCTAAGTCCATTTGAGCTAAACTCGCTAGCCGTGCTAACGCTAGCTCTTTTTTGTTATAAATTTGTTTGTTCGTTTAAAAACGTCGCAGCGTCTGCTGGGCGCTGTGAACGCGGCTTTCTCCTTGTCTTTTAAAGTGAAGCTTCTGCTAAGCTGTTCACACGGAGGAGGCTGACGCAGGTGTAGCGGAGGTTTGGCGGATAACAGGCGGAGTCTGCGTGGGCGGCTGTCACGCTGACTTTAACATTACAAGTTCAACCCCAAAATGTTGATTCTGTTAAACGTAGCGTTTACAGTGGAACAACGTTACACGTTTAACGTTCTCTTCTTTTTAAAAACGTGCACGAACCAAACGGCGTTTACACGCGCGGACAGGTGTCAGCTTTAAGGAGCCCTTCGCCTGATTTACCTGCTCACCTACAGGGCCCGTTCAGCCGTGTTTACGTGGAGTTTCTGTCTGAATGTTTGATTAAACTGAATTATTTTTAATTTTAGGCCCTTGTGACATCTCATCACGATGACCCTTCCTCCATTTTGTATCTGGAGACTTTATGATAATAATAATGGATCGCATTTATATAGCGCTTTTCGGGGCCCTCAAAGCGCTTTACAATTCCACTATTCATTTACTCTCACATTCACACACTGGTGGAGGCAAGCTACAGTTGTAGCCACAGCTGCCCTGGGGCAGACTGACAGAATCGAGGCTGCCATATCGCGCTATCTACCCCTCTGGCCAACACCAGTAGGCGGTAGGTGAAGTGTCTTGCCCAAGGACACAACGACCTGTCCGAGGCGGGGCTCGAACCGGCAGCCTTCCGGTTACAAGACAAACTGCCAACTCTTTGAGCCACGATCGCCCACGTGACTTTTAGACGTGATTTTTAGTTTATATCAATCCTGAATTTGTTTTAATGTGTCAGGTAAACAGGAAATCGTTGGGCTTATCTGTACGGTTCACACACAGCAGTACAACGATAGTCTGTGTGCATGTTTAATTTTAGTTATTTTTGATTTGTTTCAAATTATCTTCAAAATGAATTGATATAGATGTATCTGTCTGCCCCTTAAATTTTTGTAAATATGTTGTTATGTCTTTTCATGGGCCAACGTTGAAGAAATGACACTTTGATACAATGTAAAGTAGTGAGTGTACAGCTTGTACAAAAGTGTAAATTTGCTGTCATCTCTAAATAACTCAACCCACACCCATTATTGCCTAAACCGCTGCCAACAAAAGTGAGTAAATGCCTAAATGAAAATGGCCCAATTGATTGATTTATTTTTTTGAATGTTCTGTTGAGCACTGTAACAATCAGAATTATTGTCTCAAGGCCAAGAGAAATGCCCAAAGGATTTATTTTTCCAAGTGGTCCACTTGATTATTATTTATTTATTTTATTTAAATTTTTATTTTTAAGTTTTAAGTTTTTACAAACAGAACAGACATGACTTTTCATGTTGTCCCATGAAAAAATATAATAAAATCTTTACAAAAATGTGAGGGGTGTACTTGTGAGATACTGTACATCGTTTCCTCACTTAGTTCACTGCTACTGAGTGTACCTGCAGCCCCACCCACAGTGAGAGTCCAGAGGGGTGTACTCTGAAGTGAGATGAATGGTTTAGTGAGCTGTCTTGAGATTCAAATCAGAGGTTTCTGTGTCTCTCTTTTTAGCTGGCTAAATCACCATGGTAACTGATGCTGAACACATCACTGTGTTGGGAGCAGGTTATTATTCGAGTTTCAATTTAAAATGCAAGTGCCATATTTTCATGTATTCTCTTATTTACAGTATGTTGTAAGTGCACTATTATCTGCAGATAGATGTTATATGTGCAGCTTATTACCTGAGTAACATCAGGAATGAAACTCAGCTGCAAAGTACAGCACTGTATGTCATATTGTCAGTGGAATGTGCATGTAAAAAATAAATAAATTAAAAGTATAAATGTTTTTATACTTGACTGTATTATT